AAAACCCTCAAGAAAGACTTGCTCTCCAGCTGAAGAGTAATCACCTAGTCATCATATATTTCAGTTCTCACAGACTTCAAGGACTTTTCAGATATGAGGAGCTGTTTTATTTAAGATCATGTTCATTCTAGCATCCAAAGAGGTGGGATGTACAGCTTTGGCCATTGTAGCTCAGTGAGGACACTGCATTAGACACTCACTCCTTGCTCCTGGAACATCACCAAGTCTGTATAGCACCTCAGTCTTTACAGTCCATTTGTATTACTTAGCTGCTGTGGGATATTCTGTATGGTAAATGTGTTGCTAATTAGTCAATAAATAAAACACTGATTGGCCATTGGTTATGCAGGAAGTGTAGGCGGGACAAGGAGGAGAATAAAGCTGGGAAGTGGAAGGCTGAGTCAGAGAGACACTGCTAGCCGCCATGATGAGAAATAGCATGTGAAGATGCTGGTAAGCCATGAGCCATGTGGCAAGGTATAGATTAATGGAAATGGATTAATTTAAGCTGTAAGAACAGTTAGCAAGAAGCCTGCCATGGCCATACAGTTTGTAACCAATATAAGTCTCTGTGTTTACTTGGTCGAGTCAAAAACACTGTTAAGAACTATGTGAGCACTGGGAATATTTAGCACAGTAGTCTCCTTTTCCAACAGAGATTAAAATAGATTGATTTATATTAAAATATGCCTTATGCCTTATGCATAAATGTCCAAAGAAGACAGCACACTAACATGCAGAGTCACAGCAGCCAGCATTTCTCAAATGATCAGAGTGACCTGTTGGCATGCCATGTCCTTGGATTACATTGTCCTCAGATTTGAAGCTATAAATGCAGATTTCACAGGTGACTATCTCTGCCATATTCTACTCAATGATGTCCACATAGAGTCTAGTTTTCATGATTAAAGTGTCTTGAGTTTTGAATACCTAGTATTTTGTCATATCTCATAGCCTATGACTATACCCAGAAACTTAAAGTAAGGAATTCTTTCTTCCAAAGAGAACAATGTAGCATGCTGTCCTGATGGTGAGGAAACAGTCAATCTGGGAGACCCAGGAATGTTGTTTTTGTTTGTTTGTTGTAGTTTCTTTGTTTACTTTGTACTTTACACTTAGAAAACAATAACCTGGTGCTTAGGTTTAGAAAAGAGCCAAATTTATAAAACTGAAATTTTTACACTCGTGTGTTATATCTAAACTTGGCAAGACATCGTTATCAAACATGAACAGAGCTCCCAAGAAGAGGTCAGGTTGGCAGATAATATCTGAGAGGAGAAGTACCTTGACAGTATTTTCCTGATGTGTTTCTTGTAAGTGTGAGGAATAGAACACCTTGTGCCGTCTGTCTGTTTCGGCATATTCCTAGAAAGCTGTAAGAGTGCATTGTGCTGACATTTAGAGATAATGCTTAGAGAACGCTTACATAGCTGTAATCCCTCCTCTGGCCACAGGGCCATAAAATGGGATTAACTTTTTCCGTAATTAACTTTTATGATTTTTGCCCAGCCACTGACAAAATGGGCTTTACATCATCATTGACAACATTCAGGACAAGTTCTAAGGGTTTTTTTTGTTATTGTTGCTGTTGTTTCTTTTATACAATGTGATGCATGGTATTTACCTTGAGGTATTAAAAGAAAACTTGAGAAAATGCTGACATTTATTTCTTGTTATTATTTTTTTTAACCTGGCATTTTCATTTAAAAAGTAAACACAATTAACACACATTTACTCTCATATAACTCTACATCACGTAACTTTTTGTGCCAAGGACCCCTGCATCAAATACCTATAGCCTATTGCTGTTCATTGATTAGGCAATTTCCTTTCTCTTCAAGTGAGATAGGACAAATTACCAAATTACCAAAGCAAGGACAGTGCCAATGACTAACTGCTGGAAGGGACCTTCAAACTGACTTTTCAGTCATTCCAAAGTTCTGCTAAGATATCTAACAATCCTTACATATCTGTATCTGAAGTGGTAATGCAGTATGCTGCCTTTAGGTTTATTTTTTTTTCTTTTTAGAAAAGAGGGAAAATATAAGATAACTCATAAAACACAACCACTGAAAATTTTCTCCTCCATGATTTGCTTTTTTTGCTGTTCAATCTCATTCCTTCTTGTACTTAAGCCATTATTGATGTTGTGAGGGAACAAGTGAGCTGGACAAATAGGAAAAGAGAAAGAGCAAGACTAAGTGGGATGGGGCAGTAAAAGTAATAAAGCGAGCATGTGAAAATAAACCGAATCTTCACCCAATTAACGTCTGACCAGAACTTCTTCTCCTCAAATTAGACTTATCTATCTGATAAAATACTTACAGATTTTCCTTCCAGTAAACTGAGTAGAATATCATCAAAATAAAAATCAATAAAGTAAACAGTAATATTTTGCAGGGCCCTTTAGACCATGTAAAAGCACAGTTTCCACATTTGCTTTGCATAATTTTACTTTAGAGCCTGCTGAGGTAGGGTGCTAAAAGGTTCCCCTAATGAATGATCAAAACTAACCTCCGTGAGCCTCAGTGTTTAATGAATCTAAACAGGTCTTGATCATCAGGCTTTATTTACAGCCGTAACTTCAGTGTTTTTAAGGAGTAATTTATTATTTTCTTTATGTGAATGTGTATGCATGTGTATGAGTTGATGTGTACCACTTGGGTGTAGGTGCCCACAGAGGCCAAAGGACATCAGATCCTCTGGAATTGGAGTACATGTAGTTTTGAGCCATCTAGGTTCTGGCAACTGAACCTGGGGTCTTCTGCATGAACAGTAATCACGCCTAACTGGTGAGCCCTTTCTTCGGCCTCCATAGTCATAGTTTTGCAAACAATATGTACTGTATAAGAAAGGCATGACTTTTATCAAGCCAAACACTGTACTTGCCACCACTGAAGGGATTTTATCACTGCACTGGATAATGAAGTCCAGGTGGGATTTCAGGTGGGAGTTATCAGTGGTCTAGAGGCAGGAATGCAGCTGCAGGCAAGGAACAAGGCAACAGTGATTTATAATGGAGAAATATTAGGCCTGCTGAGAACAAAATAGTTTCTACTGTATTTTGGCACTACAGGGCTTCTGGGCTGGTTGAAGACTTGGTCATCAACAGTCAAGTTTACCACTAATTAGACAAGTCACCAGAAGAATTAGGTTTTCTCATAATGTTTTTAAATTCTGAAGAAAATCAAAACAAGCAAATACCCAGCCGCTATTGTTGATGCTTCCACTATAATACTTCATGGAGATTGATGCTGGAAATTTAAAATTTTTAAATCAAATTTATATTTTAATAGTTTCAGATTTACTTTTACATCATCTTGGTCATCCATATTTAAATTCTGCCAACTTAAATATAATGTCTTCATTCATCCATAGAGAATTTTACCCATTGTATACTTCAAATATGTTTCTGAGACACCAGGGGAATGATAACATTTCCAGATTTAAAGGTGCATAAAGTCTGTCAATGAAGTCTATTATGTTATGTCATAGGAAGATAAGCTCAAACCAAATCCTATAGTATTACTATTACTACTAACACTATGGTTAATTTATAAATAGTAATTACTTTTCATACAGATGTTAGTCTTATGAAATCATTTATCTATTAGTAATGCCCATCCTAACTGTTCATAAGTGTTTGAAAAACGAAGTTGCTTTTTGTATGATTTGTTTTGAAGTTTCTAAATCCAGATGTTTGATTTAGAATGGAATGAGAGATCCCAACTAATTGAGAGCAAAATAAAATTTAAGTCATAAAATATAAAAAAAAAACTAATGTTTGATAGCTGGGTCTGGATCCCCACAGGTAACTAAGATGTAAGGCATGAAGAACTGTTAATTTCATCAAGCAGATTGAGCAGGATGGCCTGTGTAAAAATTTGGCCAAATATTAGTCTAGATTTCTTTGTGGAAATAATTTTCAAATGAAATTAGCATTTTAATCCCAAACACATTTTTAGGATTTAATGGTTCACATTAAAAGCTTTTATATTCTACAAAACACTATACATTAGAAATATTTTTATCCAAAATGTGTCTTGTCCACCTCTTGTAATAAATATCACAGCTCAGGAACACTCTGTGTAATATCCATTACTAGCATTGCCACTTTGAGATTCCTCTTAAAGACCACTTCAGTTGCTCAGAGTCACAAGAGCATTTTGGACCATGCATCATGTATAGGGAAATGATAAAACTTCAAAATTGAAGGCACTATTTCTCTGCAGGCATGTCAAATCATGGTTCACTCCTAACATTTGAGAGGCCAAGACAGGAGAGTAGCTGTCAGTTTGACACTAGACTGGGATAGAGAGAAATCTTATCATAAAACTAAAACAAAACTAAATATTCTTTCCAAAAAGAATATTAATTTCTTTTTGGTTCTCTACCCGTAGCCTACATTGCAGGAATCATTTCTCGCCTTGAGCATTTTTTGGTAGAGCATCTTAAAGGAGGATTACATCTGCAAATAGAGGTACTTTGATTTCTTCATCTCCGTTGACTCTTGGCATTACTTTATTTCTCCCTCTTCTCTTACTCCGATAGCTAAGACTTTGAGCACTGTACTGAACAAATAAAGACAAGGTAGACCCTTTGTCTCTATTCTTGACCTTAGTGGGAGCTGTAACACAAATCTTAAAAGGTCCTATAATAAAAAACCCAGAGCCAGATATTGGGATGAAAGCTGAAAAATAAGAAAAGCAGAACAGCCAGCCACTAGCTTACCTCTACAAAATCCTCAGCCTCAAGAGAGCAAGTTCCTGTTTCTTCATGCTTTATATAACTTTCTGTGTCCTTCCATATTACTTGCTGGTATTAAAGGCTTGTTTCACCACTGCCTGGTTCTGTTTCCGTCATGAAGCCCAGTGTAGCCTTGAACTCACAGAGATCCAAACTGATCTCTGCCTCCCGAGTGATAGGATTAAAGTTGTATGCCACCACTGCCTGACCTCTATGTCTTAATTTAGTGACTGGCTCTCTCCTCTGATCCCCAGGTAAGCTTTACTGGGGTACATAATATATCAACACATGGAGCAGTTTGAGATTTTTCTCCATTCTTCATGATGGTTTGCCATTGAAAGTATTATGCTGAGGTAAGTTCCCTCCATCCCTCATCTTACTCACATGGAGTATCAGTAAGTAAAGAGATTTGTGTACTCAAGTGTCACTATAAGAACATCACAGAAGCCCTGACCATTGCCATGGTGAGTAAGGTAACCATCCAGGGTGATAGCAGTATATCCCTTCTCTAGGGTTTTTCAGTCTTATCATCAAAGGAATTATTTTTGAGAAAATTTAATGAGGGGCACCAGGGACTATCTCACTCAGAGAGCATAGTCTTCTGATAGACGTGTCCAAATTTCTTATGGAATATATCAGTAAAGAGGACAGCAGAGTAAAATAAAAAGACATTTCCTTTCTTAAAAATAATAAAATATAACCTAAATATTCATTAACAAGAAATAACTCCAACAGTATGCGAAGCACAGCACATATTATGGGACATGTCGCTAATTCCAAAGAGCAATAAGCTCTTGTTGGGAAGTTAGGCATGAACAGAATTAAACATAGATTTGTGATGTAACCATCAGTGAAGTTTTCATAAAGGGAGAGATGGTGTTAAAAATGGAAGAACCAAAAATTGCAATCACATTGTGCTGATGAAGAAGTCATATTCAGCTGGATATTACTAATATTCTACTTCACAGAATTAGGAAAACTACATTCCTGTAAGAAAAGATTACTGCATACTGCAAGGGAACATCCAGATCATGGATTGTGTTTCTTAAGTCTGTTTTGCAAAGTGGGTAAAAAGCCTTCTTAACAGAAAAGCAACTAATTTTCCCTCACCTCTGCTCTCAGATTCTTAAAGGCTGAGAGAAATCATATGTCATGCTGGATCATCTGACAGGATAAAAGGACATTGTCTTACCATGACAAGTTGACATTGCATCATTGGAGACACGATTATTTTATAAATTGGTAATATCACAGACTGTCAGGCTTTCACTCCAAAGTCCTTGTCCTAAGTCAGAACTGTCTGTATTTGGGTCAATTTCATGGAAATGACTTGTTTCTTTTCTCCTTAAAAAAAAAACAAAAAAAACCCCTAGTTTTGTTTTTGCTTATTTTTTTTGTTTACTTCTGAGGGTGTTTAACATTTATCTAATGAGATTTTTGTTTGGTTCTGGATTCTGACTCTAGAATTCAGTAAAAATAAACTGATGATTCAACAAACATAAATTCTTTCATTAATGCAAACAAAGGATAGGACATTCACTTTCTTACATTTTGATTGGTTTGTTGTGTAACCTAGAGTTAGTCACCTCTCCTTAAATAAAGAAGTTTAGACAGTAGACAGGTAACTGTCCTCTAAAATTCACAGATGAGTCTTGGAGCATCTTTGGAGTTTACTGGTTGTGTTACTCATGGAGTATCTTCAACTCTATATTCACAAAACTATGGCAATCAATATTGCTGTCATGAAGCAATTTATTTCTGCAAAAAGTTTGTTCATTTTGATTGTAACTCAGCAAAGTTGTTTCAGTGTTACTTACCAGTATCCAGTGACCAACAAAGATAAACAGTGAATAGGGCTTTTCATAATATCAGTATCCATCAGATGCAATTTTTTTGTGGAAACAACATCAGCTTTCCAGAATGAATGCTTTTGTTTTTAAATGAGCATATTATATTTCATTGTAGGCCTTAGTTTTAAGATATGAGTGTCTAAGAATCATAATTCCATTATAGGTATTCAAAAACAGTGTCAATTGGTACAAAACCAAAACCAAAAATAAGTACATAGAAACTGCTTATACTGTCAATAAATTTAAATAGGAGAGAGTTGAGTTAACTTGAGTGAGAAAATACAATAGCATAATGGATAACAGAAATGACGTTTTTCTCCTTCTGATCTTTCTCTATTTATTAAACTGAAATTATTTTGCCATTTCACTTTTTATGATACTTCAGTGTAGTAGAATATTATTTTAAGGTGCTGTTACTTTATTTTATATTGCATTTGTTTAACTCTGTGAAGCTGTACTACTGTGACTGTGTAAAATACCTAATGTTTTAATAAAGACCTGACCAATAGCAAGGCAGGAGAAAGGTTAGGTGGGGCTGGCAAGCAGAAAGTATATATAGAAGGAGGAAACTGGGAGGAGAGAGAGCTAAGATCTAGGAGCCAGAGAAAGAGGAGGACTCCAGGGGCCAGTCACCCAGCTACACAGCAAGCCACAGAGAAAGTGAGATTTACAGATGTAAGAGAACAGGAAAAGCACAGAGGCAAAAAGACAGATGACACAATTTAAGTTAAGCTGGCAAGAAACTAAGCCAAACTAAGGCCTGCCATTCACAACTAAGAATAAGCCTCTGTGTGTATGATTTATTTGGGAGCTGGGTGGCAGACCCCCCCCAAAAAAGAGTAAAAACAACCAACAACACCTCAGAGTAAAAATTAAATTCCATGGTCCAGTAAGTACATATGTGTGTATACTGGCCTTTGAGTCACAAGCCTAGAGAGCTGAGCTTGGGGTCATAAATCTGTGTAAAGCGAGACCCAATTCCATAAAGTTGACCTCTGACCCCTGCATGTGTACCATAACAAAGTTAACTTCCACCATACACCACACACATACACATGCATACACACACACACACAAGCGCGCGCGCACGCGCACACACGCACACACACACACACACACACACACACACACACACACACACACACACTCATTCACTTGCACACAAAAATTAAGTTACTTTTCATTTTCCTGGAATTTCCAGATGTAAACCCATTTGTTATTTGCTGTGAACTGGGTATGTTTGCCCTTCCATATGGAGATGGTAAAGTTCTAATCTCCAGTGGAATATTATTTGTAGATAGAGCTCTGAAGAGTTTAATTTGGTCTAGATAAGATCATGAGTATGGAGGTCTCATGATGGGTTATAACCCCTTCCTGAGATCATGTCAGCATTCTCTCTCTACCATGTGAAGATACAGGGAGATGCTAGATATCCAGGAACCAGGAGAAGGATCCTTGAAAAGAAACTGATAATGTTGACACTTTTATCATGGTTTTCTAGCCTCCATATCTGGGGAAAAAAAAAGTTAAGACATCTGGTCTCTGATTTTCTGTCATTGCAACCTCAATTAAGATACTCATTTAATACAAAAAAGCAAAAAGAAAAGAAAAAAATGATGATACAGCAAACAAATATTTAAATAGGTACATTCCAGACTTGACTAGACCATTTAAAATCCCAAATCATACTGAAAAAACCTTAAGGAACATAGATCAAACTTTAATTAATGTAAGTTAAACAGGGGCCATCTTTATTAAAAAAAACTACCAAATATTCTTGTAAAAGGTCAACTACTTAGCATTATGGAATATTCAATGACACAAAGTTGGCAAACAATACTTCACCTCATTAAAGTGTGCTGGCTGATTATCAAATTAGGGGTATCATTTTTTAATTAGTGAAATGAGAAAGTTATATGCACTATTCAGTTAACTATTATTGTAAAATTTTCATTGGTTCCTTCCAATGACTCCATCTGAGAAGCTTAAGGATTAGGATCTGACTCAATCTTAGGATATTCACTAATCTGATTAAGAGGGTAAGCCAGCTCAGGCACCCTCTCCACCATTGCCAGTACCCTAAGATGGGGTCATCCTTGTTGGAGAAATCTCATATTAGTGACTTAACAGCACACCTGAAAGCTCTAGAACAAAAAGAAGCAAAGTCACCCAGGAGGAATAGATTTCAGGAAATAATCAAATTAAGGGCTGAAATCAATAAAATAGAAACAAAGAGAACAACACAAAGAACTAATGAAACAAAGAGTTGGTTCTTCAAGAAAATCAACAAGATAGACAAACTAACAAAAGGCAGAGAGAGAACATTCAAATTAACAAAATCAGAAATGAAAAGGGAGACATAATAATAGACAATGAGGAAATCCAGGGAATCATCAGGTCATACTTCAAAAACCTGTATTTCACAAAATTGGAAAGTCTGAAAGAAATGGACAATTTTCTGGACAGGTACTATATACCAAAATTAATTCAAGACCACATAAACAATTTAAACTGACCCCTAAGGAAATAGAAACAGTCATTAAAAGTCTCCCAACTGCTGGGCGGTGGTGGCGCACGCCTTTAATCCCAGCACTCGGGAGGCAGAGCCAGGCGGATCTCTGTGAGTTCGAGGCCAGCCTGGACTACCAAGTGAGTTCCAGGAAAGGCGCAAAGCTACACAGAGAAACACTGTCTCGAAAAACAAAACAAAACAAAACAAAGTCTCCCAACCAAAAAAAGTCCAGGACCAGATAGATGGTTTCAGCACAGAATTCTGACAGAATTTCAAAGAAGAGCTTATATCAATACTCTTCAAATTGTTCCACACAATAGAAACAGAAGGAACATTGTCAAACTCTTTTTATGATGATACAATTACCCTGATACCCAAACCATGAACCCTCATGAACATTGATGCAAAAATACTCAATAAAATACTGCAAACCAAATCTAAGAACACATCAAAAAATTATCCATAATGATCAAGTAGGCTTCATCTTAGAGATGCAAGGATGGTTCAACATATGAAAGTCTGTCAATGTAATATACCACCATATAAATAACTGAAAGAAAAAAAAAACACATGATCATCTCATTAGATTCTGAAAAAGCCTTTGACAAAATCTGAATCAATCTTAAATAGCTAAGTGTTAAAATTTTCATGATTTCAATGAAATTAGTTCAGATTTCCACCAAGTAGGAACCAAAAATCTCTCTCTCATAGTGATAAAATTAAATAGCATCCTGATGGACTTCCTTTTCACTATTTTTTTCAAAGCACCAGCATTCTAGGGATGGGGATATAGCTCAACAAAAGAATGTTTAGATGCATGGTATGGACCTAGGTTCAGTCTCCAATGCTGAAAAACAAAACAAAATATCAGCTTTGAATTTTTTTTTTTACAAGTGATTGAACTCCTCTGTGCATTAGCAATTTGTATCAAATATGAGAACAAGCTGTGGAAGACTTCTCTTTTCTGTAGATCACAGACAGAATGGAATTGATCATTTCCTTCTTGACTTAGTGCGGGCTGGTCTTAAGAACAGAGCAGTGCTCAAAGAAGGGAATGTCTCATCACCTGCTGGAACACAGTGATGGATGCTGCTCAGGAAAAGAACAATCTGTAGGGTGAGAGCCTAGAAGAAATGAATGGGAGCTGATAGCCTTATGAAATGCCTTGAAGCAGGCCAAAAGGAAAGGTTCTCATTATTCTACCAATAGGGATGTGTTCCACAAAGGCCAGAGTCCTGAGGAAGATGTGATTTTTAATGTTTTCAAGCACTAGTGCCTGCTTCTTAAACTTTCTGTCTTCCACTTTTTCTTAGAGTTATTTCAGAATACCTCCAGGAAGTCATTTGCGTGTATCACAAAAAGAATAGAGCGAACAGAGGCAGAATGAAGATAAAGCCATCTTCAATATGTGTACGTGAAGAAGAACAAGGAGGCCAGAAAGGTGGAACAGAAAATACAATAACCAAGTTGAAAAAGAAAGTTGAAAATTTTCAACACATAGTGAAAAATATAGGCATGCATAATGATCAATCTCAATAAAGCCTACAAAACCCAGAAATATCAAATTCTTGACAATAATCCTATAGTATTGAATAAAAAAATGTAGATAAAAATATCAGCAGATTCTTTCTTGTTTATCACATGGGATAGAAAGAGTGAAATGGAAGCAGTCAAGTGCTGACAAAAAAAAGAGAAAACAAATACAGTGTCACCCTGAATTCCACACATGCGAACGACGTCTCCAAGTAAAGATGAAATGTCATCACGGCTTTTGAATGCACTTGCCTTGATCATGACTCCCACTTTTGGATAAAGACACATCTGAATGTTGCTGTGAAGTAATTCTTGCATGTGATGGTGATTTAAATCAACACATTCAGTAAAACAGAGAGCCCTTCACAGTGTGAGGACATTTTGTCCAATCCACTGAAGCTATTAAAACAAAACACTGAGGCTCCTCAAGGAGAAAGAGTATGCTTCTAAGTAGAAATTGGAGTCAAAAATGAAACATCCACCTGTCCTGTCCCTTGCTATCCAGTCTCCTGTCTGCTCTGCAAGGTTTTGTATTTCCCAGGTCCCATACTTAAATTCCTTATAACCTCCATAAGCTGATAAACACAAACACATTTGTGTGTGTTTGTGTGTATGTGTAAAATTATATATATATATATATATATATATATATATATATATATACAAACATATTATTGATTTTACTTTTCCTGAGAATAGTGATCAATACACAAAATTAAGATATATTTAGAATGAAAACGACAATTCATTGCACCACAAGAATTGTAAGGAAATTATTTTCAGATTATCCATACCACTACATTTTCATACTTAATATAAGCTTAAAATCTGTCTTTTATATATTTTTATTTTTTCTGGATGCTTTAAATTTCATAAATATTATTCACTGTGTGACTTGTAAACATTTCTTTAGAGTATTTTTCATTTATTTAACTTTCTGTTTTTCAGCTTTAATCATATTAAGGACCAAAGAACTCATATTAGTATGATTGCTGCATTGTATTCCATTTGTAATTATATCAAATGCACTCATTTCCAATGAACAGATATTAATGTTGTCACTGTCCAGTGTTAGGACAATAACTTTTTAATGTTTTTCTCTTGTGCCTTTCTTAAATGTTGCAAGGTATGTTCCATGAGTAATACTGCTTGTTTGTAGATTATTCTAATACTGTAGATATTCTGATAAATAAATGTACTATATATTGTGAAGTGACTACTACCTTTGCAATTACCTTACATCAATTCACAATTCTCTACTCCTCACTTAAACTGTCATGTTCAGACTTCAAAATGTTTGACAGTCTATTAGTATGAAATTGCATCGCATATGAATTTTCTTTCTTACCAGTGCCAGTATTCTTCATTTTAAACTTTACTATAAAATTGCAAATAAAACATTTCACACAACTTCATTAATGAGACCCAAATAGTATATGTGTACATATATATATATACACATACATCTCAATGAACTTTGATACAATTAAAATAGCCATTTGGAACAGAAGCTTTGTACCTTCACATTGGATTTTATACTTTAATTATCTATCTATCTATCTATCTATCTATCTATCTATCTATCTATTTTAATGTATTTTTCTATCATCCCCATTCCCCCAAAATAATGGCAGAATTAAAAATACAGTTAGATTTTACATTTTCTTTCACAGTTCACTAATATTTAGCTTCTTTTGTTTTCTTTTCTGCATGTTATTCTGTAACCATATTTACATTTGCTCACATATGTATACGGGGTAAATTCTATCCATCAGAGACAAATGCAGTTATTTTATTGCTGAAACTTTATGAGCTTGCTTAATATTGTATATTCTAAGTAAATCTATTTTTCTGCAAATGTTTTAATTGTATTTTTAAAAAGCTGAATAATATTACTACACGTGCATATATAAATATTCCGTATTTTCTTGAACGTATTAATCTCTTCCTTTGTGACTTGTACCTGTACATTGTTTTCTAATACTTTACTGGATTAGTTTTACTGTTTTATTATTTTCTCATAATTTGTCATGTTAAGTCAAAAAGAATTTCTCTCCTAAACTTGTAATTTGTTTTTGACATTGAAACTGGTATTTAAAATAAAAATGTATTTTGATGGCATTACCATTTTAATAGCACTTACTGAATAAATACATCAATCCTTACACATTTTAAATGCTTGGGAGATTTAGTCTACTACCTACTAATGTATAGATGCTGTGAAGCTGTGTTCACCTTTGTTCAGATTGATAGTCAATTTACTTCATGGTGTTGCTTCAACGGCTCATATCCCTTTTTTGTTCTCATGCACATGAATAGTTGGTTTCTGAGATGTCTTCCATGCACCCACTCTATCCATATCTTAAGTAATCAAGCCTTTAAAGTTTTGTGATTTACATAGGAAAGCCACTAATATTTTTGTTTCAAAATGGATTTTTCCATTTAGTGTCTCTGTTGTCTTTACTACAATATAATCTACTTATCAAATTATATTAACACTCTTTGGGGTTTATATGGCCATTTTCTAGAATTGTAAGAAAAAATATGGTTTCAAATAAATATTTGCACTATTAAGTCTTTCTGTGACTCAATCTGGCAAACTTATCCATGTTTCTTATTTTCAAATAATCTACTTTCTCTGTCAAAATATGTCAGTAATATGTCTTTAGGTTTATTCTAATTATTTTATAACATTTGGTTTTAATAATTTTAAAGATTGTATTCTCTTATTTATGTAGCTACTTTATTAAAGTGCATCATTACCTTTAATTTTTATCTAGATATCATGTTGAATGCTCAGATTCATAACCCTTTATTCATAATTCTCAACTTTAAATCTTAGTTTGTGTGTTTTTTTTTAAATAAGGTAGGCCAAATCTAATCAGAACAGATGTGAGGATATTTGCAATCTTTATCTTAATTTCTGTGAATATTCATTAGGTGCACTGAAAACATTAATGTATTTGATTACTAGAGCTTCTCACAGTCTGCTGAGAAGGTTACACAATGTACTGTTTCTGTACCTTGTTGTCTTTCCTAAACCCAAATTATTGAATTCTGGATACCTGTGTGCCTGTTCAGTTGACAACTACGAGGGCACTTTCTGTTCTTTTTGTGTGTGTGCTTGAATTTGTATTGATTTATCTTTGGTAAGTCTTATGATGTTTTAAAATGGTCTCTATTTTTTCTTTAGACTGGTGCTTAAAATATGTACTACATTGTAACAGATAATCTGCCATTTATTGGGAGGGTTATAGGATTTCTCTCCTTCATTCTTTTAATATGCTTCTCTAAATTAACAAACTTCATAATGTGTAGTAGCCCTTAAGTGCTAAGTGCTCAGTCTAACATTTCCATGATTAATATGTTTTGTATACAATTCTAGATTTGGTTTCCTAATGTTGTTCTTGATGTTGCTATTAATTATGATATGAGTCTAGATATGCAATGAATATTTTAAGATTTTAAAAAAGTGATAGCAATGTCCCTTTTCACTCCCAAGACATTGTATAAAAGATCAGTACTGGGAGAATCCATTTCCAATACAGATGTGGAGCAAGGATGGCATTTTTCCTCCTTTCTTTTAGTGGACATATGTTTAGCTATCAACTCAAATATTTAGTACATGTCTCATTGGGATTAAGTGATTTTTAGGATTTGGAACTTGAATCTTTCTGAAAAACTAGACATTTTATCTATATTTTAAAAAATCATAGACATCATGTTCTTCATAATGTTCTCATATATTTTAGTTTTCAATTAATCATTATTAATACTTTTCACTTTTTAAAATTCTTATACATATTTTCACTATTTTGTTGTTGATATTCTTGTTATTAGAGTGCCTAGTAAGTTATTATTTCCAAATAATTGGGCGCAGTGTTCTTTGTTAGTATTTCTCATTCACATAATCTTTTGTATTGCAGAGTTTAGCACTCTTCCATTCTTCCTCTGAGCTGATCCTCTCTCCTTCTATTCTTGTATACATTCATTAATTTCCCTTCTGATCTGCATTCCACTCAGTAGCCTCTTAAAAATTGTGTCCTTTGAATTTGAGAGATCAAGGTAATTTGCAATGTTGAACAAATTTTAATTTTGATGATGGATTTATCAAAATTTCATTTTATTTTGTCACCATTTATCATGCACTTAACTGATGTTATTACATGCATTTGAGTGTAGAACTTATTTTTTACAAATATACTCTATATAAATATATATGTACATATATGTAAGCCTATATACATATAGTTATTAATATATTTGTATATAGTTTTATTTTGTTTGAATTATTTTATGTCCTAAATTATGCTTTGTAAGATAATGATGCAGCCACCACAAAGTTTTTATTTGTATTTGTATCATTTTGCTTTTTGCATTATAGAATGAAGAGCAATTTTTGCCCCTCCAAGTCCATATGTTTTAAGTAATCTATAGTTGGACTTTAGATGTTGTCCAGTACTTACCAGATTTTCATTGCTTTTGGGGACCATGGAAATTTTCAGAGATTTGCTAAGACTCTCTTTTTAATATCTCCTAAGTTGTATTTTTTTAATTTGTGGTGTGTCTTGGGTTTTTAATTTGGGGAAGGAAAATCAGAAAGGTAAATTCACTGTTGTGTATCAACAAGTGCATGCCCACATATCTATTAATATTTCTCTGCAAAAATATCATGTCTTTATGAATGTGAGTTTATCTAAGCCTGAGGTCTCTAAATCTAATTCTACACCAAAGGATGATATGAATTATTCTGGTCCCCTCTTGCTGATTTGCAAAACTTTATTGAAAAAAAAAGCAGGCTCACTGTCAAATTCGACCATTTGATTGTGCTTTAGTATGTAAGTATGGTCAATTCAAATCCTCACGAATAACATCTTTGCTAATTAGGACACACTTCACCCTTTGCTTTCAGTCCTGCGTACTTGACTCATGTCCAAAGTTACTGACATCAATGGCTTAGTCTCAACTGTAGCTAGAAGTTTTCTCTGGTCCCACCAGGGCCCCCCAGTCCTGTGGCCTGCTTGTAGAATAATCACTCAGAAGCTTATATTAATTATGACTGCTTGGGCATTAGCTCAGGCTTATTACTAAGTAGCTCTTACACTTAAATTAACCCATAATTTTTATTTATGTTTAATCACGTGGCTTGGTACCTTTTCTCAGTTCTGCCTTGTCATTTTGCTTCCTCTGTGTCTGGTTGGCAACTCCTGACTCAGCCCTCCTCTTCCCAGAATTCGCCCTGTCTGCTTGCCCCACCCATACTTCCTGTCTGGCTACTGGCCAGTCAGTGTTCCATTTATTGACCAATCAGAGCAACACACATTCACAGCACACTGAACGACATCCCATAGCACTCAACCACCTCATTTAGGTTATTTCAAGCATTCATAATAGAGTGACATTGTTATATCACATTCTACAGTGCATTTGGGAATATTATGATCTTCTATATATGCATTTTCATTATTTACGTGCAATATAAAAATCATTCTCCACATTTTGAAGTTAAGTGAGCTTTGAAAGTCCTAACTATTATATAGATCATTGTAATGGCACATAGCATAGTTTCCTAGATCTCTCATACTTAAGTTCGCTTCTTGTCTCTTCCCTCTTGAAATTTATTAGTATTGTATAACAGGCTGCACAATCTTGATATTCACAGAAAGTCTTATGACTCTAAAAGGTTCCTTTTAGACTGACTTCTTTTACTCAGTGATATACATAGGATTTATTAGGTGGCTTGTCAGCTTACTGTTTTGTGATGCTAAACAATAGTGTAATGCACACTGTGGGTTATGACACAGGGTCTTATTTCATTCATATGTAGAAGAATATCTTGGTTGTTTGTAGTCTTAGCAATTAAGAATGGTATCACTTACATATCCAAAAATCTGCTATATGCAGGCGTTTATATAGAAGTCAGTTGCCTTAAAACCAAGAATAAGCTCTAAAAAAATAATGTATTTTGCTTTGTGAGAAACTGCTAACCTGTCTCTCACAGTGACTTTGTCATGGGTATTCCTAAATACCAAGAATGAAAGTTCTCATTACTCTGCATTTTTGCCATCAATGAAAGCTATCAATGTTTGGGTTTCAACCATTATGATGTATTCATTGTATTTCATTCTTGGTTTAATGAGCTATTCTGCAATGCAAATGATCATTGATCTGTGTTTCATTTTGGTCAGATGTCTATTGAGATCATTGTGTGTTTTTATGTAGTTTCCTATTGTTGGGTTTTTAATATCTTTTTTACATTTGACATAAGTTTTTCACTAGTTTGGTACATCGTATTATTTTCTCTTCCTTTTTAATTTGTCTTTTCATTTTCTTAATAGTATTGTATATTTTTAAATTATAATAAAATTCACAGCCGGGCGGTGGTGACGCACGCCTTTAATCCTAGCACTCGGGAGGCAGAGCCAGGTGAATTTCTGTGAGTTCGAGGCTGGCCTGGGCTACCAAGTGAGTTCCAGGAAAGGTGCAAAGCTACACAGAGAAACCCTGTCTCGGAAAAAAAAATCACCTTAGCAATTTTTTCTTTGATTAATGATGCTATTTACATTCTACCCATCATAATAAAAAAAAAAACAAAGAAAATATACACAGATTTTCTACTACATTTTCTTCATGCTTTCATAGTCTTATGTTTTACATTTAGGTCTATTATAGAATTTTAGCTACATAAAGAAGACTCTTATAAAGAGGACTGGATCTATTTGTGTATCTGTGTATTTTGGTGGTCTTTTTGCTTATGAATATCCAATTGTTCCAATATTATTTGTTTCAATAACTTATTTTTAATTTTGATTGAATTTGCTACATTTTATCTTTCATTTCATTTTATTTTATTTTTCAAGACAGCATTTTTCTGAGTAGCCCTGGCTGTCCTGGATCTCACTCTATAGACTAGGCTGCCTTTGAACTCGGAAATACGCCTGCCTTTACCTCCCAAGTGCTGGGATTAAAGGTGTGCAGCACCACCACCCAGCGTATCTTTCATTTTTTGAGACAGAGTTTTATACATTTCAGCCTAGTCTTGAAATTGCTAAGAAGCCAAGAATGACCATGTACTTCTGAACTTCCTACATCTACATCCCAGGGCCTGGGATTACAGACTTGTGCCACCATGTCTGGTATGCTAAAATCGTTTAAATTAAAATGAGTCTTTCTATCTTTTTCATCTTTCTGATGATTTCAAGCCTGTTGTTATTCAGTTCACAGAGCAAATGACATTTGTTGGTTTTACTATAATCTAACATCAGTTTTGACTCAATTTTTAATAACATTTAGAGCACTGAGTGATCTGTTTGAAGTCAAAGTTAGCAGGCAGGGAATATTTAATGTAATTCCATTCATTTCAGGTTTCTTTGTCCACATGATACCACATACTACCTGAGAGATATATAGCTTGTGAGTAAATATTGTGACATAATCTTTAAATATCAACATTGTTGTGAAAAGAATGCAGATAAATTCGGGGTG